GTTTCAAAGCAAGGATTCTTCAAAAAAAAAAAAAAAGATTACTTTTACGTACAGTTTCGTGTTTGCTCTAAATTTTCTATACTTCAAATCTATTTTACATTATAAGTGTAAGAGAAACCGGCTCTAGATGACCCCAAGGATATGTTACACATATGCTTTTCTTTAATATTTATCATGAAAAGAACAGGATACAAAATCGCAAAACAGTCTTTTTACATATACATACATATATACTTTTTTCCTCGATTTCTATTAAAGTTGGAATAATATTAAAATAAAAAAAAAATTGATTTAGTAGTAGCGCAAAGTAAATTTTCATATCTCTTTTATATTAATATTCTCCATCGCGAGTGAAAAAAGTTAAATGATGTGTTACTAGAATTAAATTTTGTGTTTAAGTGTTTTATATGATATTACTGTTTCGCGTATTAAAAGTAATTTTCATTCATAAAATGATTGAAATCGAACATATGGGTGGACAAGATAAAGTTAGCCTATAATTAAGAGTTGACAGGAGGAGGGTGGTGAACTCTTGTAGGGACCCTGAAACTACTAATCAAGACGCATATTTTATGTGTGGCCTTCTTATCCTGGTCTTCTATATCTTCTTATTGGGCAACCCGATATCAGAACAAGATGGCTGTTTTGCTGATTATATTTTGATTATTATAAGACGAAATATATGGTTAATAGAGTCGTGACGGGCATTGATACATAGAAGAAGATTGCCGTTTACACACTCACAATAATTAGCCTGAGAAGTTGTAACTTTGAAATCCTGAAGTATGGGTCATCTAACCCCAGTCTCCCCATTTTCAATTAAGACCATTGTGGCATTTTTTCGGCTACTAAATGTTCATACCTTCGAGAAAGATTCTCTGCGGGCGGCGATCCGCGCGTATATTCGCCTTTGCGACATCGACGATCGAGCAGGCCAAAATTACGTCGGCCTCCCGCTCGCAGCCCACGTGTCCCGCGTGGAGAAGCGGGTCGAAAATCTGGGGCGTGGAGCATGAAATAACAATAAAAATCCCGTCGTGTCATTCTCTTCTGCTTCTCGACGCGCTATCGCTATTTCCCTGTCATCGTCGGGGCTCTATCGTATCGGGCCCGGCTCTCTATTCACGGCTCATAGATTCTTAAATCTTTCTCACCTCGTCGACTCGGCATTTGCATCACAACGCGAGAATCGTTCGTAATATACGACGGCGATGCCATAAGCACGGAAGCATCGATTATTCTTTTGGTCGCTCCCGCTGTTATCCGCCGTCGCGATTGCAGCTTCCTTTCACCTTCTGCTCCTCTTCCTCCTCTTCCTCCTGTCTGCCATTAAACCAAAAAGGCGTACACGATGTTCAGCGTGCATTGTACGCATCAATCCCGCGGGGCGCGCCTCTCAAAAAAAGTCGAGCGGCTCGCGCAAAATCGACGAGATAAATTCACGTCTCGCTGCGCGCGCGCCTCCTCGAGAACGCGCCACCTTCGCCGTCGCAATTTCGAGGTTCCCCTCGATATGTGTGCGCGCGTGTGTGTCACTTACGCATTCTGCGCATTGTCACGCCGTCATTTTACTGGAAATTGCGTGTAACATTATACAGGGTAAGGTCCGTCTCATCTCGCTCCCGGCCGCATTAAATTTTAACGACGGCCTCCCGCGGCGATTTGGGACGGAATTTTTCGTCGATGTTGGAAACGGTTTTGGGATTACGGGACGGGGTCGAGCCTAAGCGGTTTTCCATTTTCGGGAATCGGGCGTGGAGTGAGCTGGGTGTGGAAGCGAGCAGTGGGTGCGACCTTTATTTGGAGGGATTCGCTTTTAAAAGGATTAAATTATTTGAATTAAATAACAGCCGCGCGTGTCAGAATTTTAACGTTTCGTGATCGCGTTTTACGTGGTTTATTTCTCGCTTGATCGCTGCTGGCGGCCGTACTTACGCGTAGTAGCTGATACGCACGAGGGGCCGAATTTAATTGGCCGTATTGAAACCGCTCGTAAGTCAACTAGACAAAAGAAAATGTCAGGTAGGTCAAGAACCGGTTTGCCGTCTTAGCGGTATTATACGTGTATACGTCACGCCCGGGTCCTGTCCCCGGATTCGGTGCAGACGGTGCCCTCCCGCTCGCCTCCTTCTCCTCCTTCTCCTCCTCTTCATCCACCTTCTCTTCATCCTCCACCTCCTCGACAGTGTGCCTTAATTGCAAAACTTTTTCGTCGAATTTCTACGGTTTCTCGGAAGATTGGTAATCACGAGAGCTCTCTTCCTCCTCTCCGCGTCTCTTTTTCTCCCCTTCTGCGCTCCCTTTCCTTTCCCCTTCTCTTCCTCTCCCGAGCACTATCCGCTTCTTGTTCCTTCTGTTCTACCGGGAGGCATTTTCTTAGCACGCGAGCGAGCACCGACGTGATTTGCGCTCGCTCGCTCGCGCTCACGATCGTTATACGGTTTCGTTTCGAGGGAAAAGAAGAAAAAAGAAATAACTAGAGAGAGAGAGAGAGAGAGAGACGAGGCAAAGGCCAGAGGCTGCCTATGGTGAACGCGCATCATCCCAGGACGAAAAGGACGAATTGAAATGCGAGGGAGCGCGGGCGCAGAGGCGGATGATGATCGATCGCCTCTCTCGAGGCCTTGAATTCGATTTTAGCTTCCGGCGACGGCGGGAATACATACCGTACACCGTCTCGTTTCTGTATTCCTCCCTCTCTCTCGTTCTCTCTCTTTCTCTCTTTCTTTTTCTGCCTTTCTTCCCGCTCTCTATTCCTACCCCTTCCGACCACCCCGTCGATCCGTGGAAAAGTCGACGTCGGATTTCCCAACCGCGCGCGCGAGGGAGATTCGATACTTTCGTATTGGCTCCTGGCGATTTTCCAGATGCACGCGTTCGATCGCGGCTGAAGAAGGGTGTCATCGGAGAAAAAAGACGCCCGGCAGCAGCAGCTTCTCGACCACGCGCTCGAGTCATCCTCAGAGGGATCGGTTTCTCGACATTGTTCACGATGACACGGCGGTTCCTCGACCAAATGTACGCGCGCGCAGCGCAGCGCGGAGAATCCTCGTCCTCTCCCGCGACTAGAGGTCCCTCCGGAGAGCTTTTTCGATCTGGAGCGCGCTCCGCCATTAGGCCTCATTCGGCGCGGTTCGGATAGGGCAATTAGCGCGATGAGGGTGGTCGATTTGTGACCCTACGACAAAGGCAAGACGGGTTTACGGCTCGTTTCGCGGCGAGCTGACGTTGACGGCGCTGACGGTGACAACGCGATTCGCGACACACGTTCAATCGCTCGTTCTCGGGTGTTAATGGCACGCGGGGTGTTAATTGACAGTGTACGCTGCCGCTGCTGCGTGTTAAGCTCCGTCTATATAGCTCGCAGGCTGCAAGACGCAGGATACGCGAAACGCACTTGTAGTTTGCAAATCACGTCGCGAGGCGAGTCGTTGAACGCAAAAGGTGGTACGCAGCGTGTATGAGGTTATATTTGTGTCCATAGGCTCCTTCGAAATTACTTTTCGTTGTGATATATCAACGTAATTAATTGGCGCGTTCTTTCAGAGGTCCTCCGCTATACAGTTGCGCTCATGCTTATCAATGCAACAGGCAACACTCACTGACGACAAAGTAGGTTAGGTGAGATTAAGTTAGGTTTTGGTTACGAAGACATTAACCTCACACTCTCCTCGAAGTCTTTCTCTCCGTGACTGGCTAATTCAAGCAAGACATAACCGCACGGGCAACACATTTGCATGAAGTTCGAGTTCCCGTGTAGAAATTTAGACAGGGATCAGTTTTCCCCATTTATCGTTAGAATTTGAGATTAGAAAATCTGAATCCCGTCTGAATCCGGCTGGGAAATTTTTAATAGGGATTCCGACTAGAAAAACTGACAGTCTAATCAGACTTACTAACCGGATTTCTCGTCGATATTTGAATTATTATTTTGAATTGTAGTAAGGGAAACAAGAAAGAATTCCAAACTGAAATATTTTCTACTGTTATTTTTTATAAATTTTTTTAATGTAAAAACGTATCACATGAAGCTTTGGAATCGCTGCAGAACATTCGTACAATAATCATTTAGATATAGAAAAAACAACTATATGTAAAATATTTCAGTGGAACATTCAAATATTACGTATACTTAAGTTTTGCCCAATCAAAAAACAACGTCGATTCGACGTCGTCAACGTCGGAATGACGTTCCGTCAAGGCTGAATCTGCGTGTAAGAATAATGATGACGAAAAGAACACTGGAACAAAAGAATAGAGAGAGTTAAACTCGCGCTTCTCAGGAGAAAGTTTTACTGGTTATAATAAAACTGTCGCTTTTTTAGGGTTAACGCTTCTACTAATTATATAAGTAAATGCTGCATGTCGGATTCGTACGACCAACTTCGTATGACCCAATATTATTTTTCTCGGTTTTCCTAGACGACACTAGCGCCAGCACGAGTTTAGGAATTCCAAACTGGGAGCCGATTCGAATGCTCAGACATTTACCATCTTGCTAAATGTCTGAGTTCCTGATCGGGAACCGATGAGAAAGTTCTATATTTCTCCATAAATTAATTAAAATCAGGTTAAAAGTTAGAAAAACAGGTCAGAATCTTTTTCCTTTAACGGGGAAAATCATCGGAATCCGACAGTAAGTGGGAAAAAAATAGGGAGATTTTTACGCGGGTTGAATCAACTCGCCGCGTGAAGCGCGAGCGCGACTACGTGTGTCTTGCGTAAGCTGATACGTCATCTTGCGTCTGCGTTTGCGACATGCGTCTTGCGTTCCGCAAGCTATATAGACTTAAAACCCCATCGTTATCTCAGACGCGTGTATTAGCGCGCGTCGTCGGGACTCGCGCTCGCGGACTCGTGGTCGCGCGGCGCGCTCGTAAAAGCGCACGGAGCAGCGACTATAAATAGGATCGGCGGCCGAGGCTTTTCAGGGTGAACCGACATACCGGCATGGCGAGTGCGAGAGAGAGAGAGAGAAAAGTAGGGGAGGGAGGAAGGGAGAAAGAGGGAGACTTTATTAAACGGGCCCCCGCGCGCCATTAATCACCCAACGACGGAAATGCGTCTGGCCGGTAAATAAATGAAAGCTCGGCCGTAGGGTATATCGGATCGCGGGGGTGGCTCCGCTCGAGAGGAGAAGCTTTATAAGCCTCGATCGAACGTTCTCGCCTCCCGCGTTTCCCTCTCTTCACATCTTTTCCATCCCTCTCGGCAAGACCCTTTGACGAAGTTCGGTAAAGAGGGAATACAAGAGCCGTTGCTCTCTCTCTCTCTCTCTCTCTCTTTTCGGCGGTTGATAGGGAAAGAAAGAGGGAGAGAGAGAGAGAGAGAGAAGAGAAGAAACGAAGCCGAGGGAGAAAGAGAGGTGAGACTCGTCCTCCTGCGAGATCACGGCGGCATCGGCCGTTGCTCGCTCTCTTCCCTCTCGCGATTTGGCATGCCCGACGCATGGGGGCCAAGGCTCTATTTCTAGCACGGTCAGCGTGCCAGCGGAGAGAGAAGCGCAATGGGCTCGCTATAAGATGCACTCTCGCGCGAGTGCGGCACGGCCAGCATCGCGGCGGAGAAGAGTCGGTCGTCGTGCCGTCCGCCGGCTACACGCGCGGCCCACCTCGCGCGCGAGACGGCGGATTTCCGAGACGCGAAATGTCGCACGTGTTGCGGCTAAGTTCCCGCGGATGATGTCATAATTTCGAGCGTTTGCTCAAGAGCGGCCGCGCCACGCTGACCGAGTCTGCTGTGTTGGTTCTTGTTTCGATTACAATGTCGGGAGTCGCGCCCTGGCCGCTGTGGCATTCGGCCATTCACGTGGTACGCTGACACGTTACTTGCGCCACTTCTTCTGGGACGACCGGTGGATTCCTGGCGCGTGAGCTTTGAGAATTAAGCGAAATCGCGTCTGCTTATGTCCAATCGCGACTTTCGATCATCTCCCTCTTTCTCACGTAGAATTTCCCAAGATTTTCAGCATAAGTTATGGTTAAAATGCTCAAATTTGTCCCAGAATTACTTACTGGGAATCTCAAACAGGGATTCTTTGAAATCGACACAGGAATTGGGAAATCGTGTTCCCCTTTCTCCCTCCCTCCCAGCTCGGTAACACGTCGACATACTTTTACGGTATCAAACAATGAATCCCATCATACCACTATCGTATTCAATAGAGTAAAACATTTTTAAAAATTAAATATTTTCTAAACACTTTGAGTATGAATTTCGCTGAATAATGGAATTATTTGAAAAGTCAACATATGTTTTGTTTTAATGTTATAAAGATTAGGACAAATTTTGGGGAGAACTTTGGCTTTCCTGCTCATGAAATGTCTACTTTTTAAAGATCTATATATTTTTCAAAAGTACTCACAACGCACACAGAGACAAATCCAAGGACATTGCTACGCGAAATGAAAGAACAATGACCAAAAATAGATGATCAACATTTGGCCAATAATGAAAACCACTGATAGATATACAATTTTGTATCCTCTTCATATATTTCAAAGATGTACATGTTTTTGGAAAGCAGTCACTGAGACAAGTTTAATGATATACATTATTACTACCCGAACGGCCACGCAGGCAATAAATCGGGTTGAAACATGGCATTTTTACCCAGAATACATAGTCATTTTAGGAAATCGTACCGGATCCCAATTAAATCCCAAGTTTTCTTATGGGCAGTTCCTTTCGACCGGCACTACGTAACCATTGTGTCTCTTTCTCTCTCTCTCTCTCTCTCTCTCTCTCTCTTTTCTCTCTCTCTCTCTCTCTCGCTGCTGCTTTTCCGTGTCTCACAAAAGGAAAGAGATCGTCTTCCAGCCTTATCTTTACGATGCGTGAATTTTTCCTGTCGACCTTCCGCCCTTCGGCGGAAATTGGTTCCGATTGGCAGCCTTCTCAATTGGCGCGCGGCCCTCGGGACGTGTATCGACCGCGGCAACATTCAACGGCGGGTATCGCGTCTCGCGTGTAAATTTTCTTATATACTCGATATGTTGTTCTCTCTATTTCTCGCCGTTCTATTCGACGTCTCCGGTCTCTTCCTCTTGTATTCATGAAGAGTGAGCTTCGAGAGATAAATTGCACGCGTACGTGAATATCATTAGCCACCTCAATTAACATGTCGCTGGCTCTTTCTGTGGTCGTAAAATCATTCGTTTCGGGAGTGTCTCATTAAAGGCGCAATAAAGTTCTTCGCGATCCATAAAGATGAAATATACGGAGATCAACAGGATTTCATAAATTTAGGAATCGAGACCAGCCGGCCTGTGCTGCTGAAAAATTTAAGCCGGCTCGTCTCTCGCGCCACGAATTTCCGTCATTTCTTCCCGAGCTCGATTGTGCCTCGCGTCTCGTGGCCCAGTGTGGCCCTCCTGGATCGTATATCACGCGACTTCCCGTTAAACCTTTACGCTCGCTTGTATTCTCACTCTCGAGTCTCGAGGCTCTCAGCTCGGCTCGACTCCTCTCCTCTCCTCTCCTCCGCTCTGGCCGTTTCTTTTTTCGGTCGATCATAAAGTTGGGGCGCGAGACCGTGCTGGGTCGTGCTGTACCGGGTCGTCGGGCCGGTCGGTAACGTTATCGTGGTTACAGGCCGTCGATTTAATTCGGCACGTGTACACACGTGCGTGCGTGCGTGCGTGCACATGCATTCGGCGGGAAGGGAGCAGAGAAGTCGGCGGCGAGGGAGAACAACGAGCGCGCGGAGACGGCGGTGTAGAATTTTTACGGACCAGTCGTGACGGGGGACTTTTTAAGAGCGCGGCCGAAATAGCGTTCTTCCTCGAGTCTCGCTGCGGCTGCGGCGAGAAAGAGAAACACTCCCGTCCCGTTCCGCGGTCGTTTCTTCCCGCGTTGCGCGGCGACGCGTTGTTCTTCGCGGCGAGCGAGCGAGCTGTCGATGGAAAACGCTCGATCGCGTTTGCCCTCACCCCTCTCTCCCCCCATCCACTCTGCCCCGCTCCTGGCTTCTTCTCTGACACTTTCTCCCGAAGAGCGAGCGAGTGGCGGCGGCGATCGCCAGGCGTGATGGACGAGGCGATTGTGCCGATCGTTTACGAGGAGAGGAACGGCTCGCGAGTTAGAAACGGCCCTCTTCTTCTCGCGAGTCTCTTTGTCCACCGTGACGGACGACGGTGTAATTGAAAAGCACGGGCGTGAGGGATCGCGTCCTGTTCCCGAGCGCCACGATCGCGCGGGAACTCTCCCTGGAATGTCCACCGCGCGCATGAAAAAACGAGCAGGTTAATCCGTCGGTGTATTAAATATTCGTTCGCGTGATATTCCAATTGCGGTCAATATTAATTCGGAGATTCATCGGGGATCGAAATGAATATTGATGCGGAAATAAATAACCATGAAATTTTCGAATGTAACCAGCACGAGATTCGCAGTAGCATGAAATACATCGCGAATATATCGCGTGGATTTATTTTTGTTTTGTTTTTTATTTCTCTCATTCGCCTTCGTATTATTGTACGATATACGATACAGTTATTATGAATCCTGTAAGATCTCTCGATTACTTTCTCCTTTTCATCTTATACATCGGTTACTTTTCTTCTTTTTATCTTATACATCGCACAGTATATTCGCACCATTTCACTTCGCTTATCTTTGTCGCCAATAACTGTAATAATATTAATAATGACTGTAATAATATTATTGATCTTCATCACATGTCTTTGCATTTCTTCAAACCTGCCGTTATCAATCATTTGAGTTCGATTTTTCTTGAGTTGGAGCACATCTTTTTTCAGTTACCCGTATGTTAAAGACATTCTTCATTTCTTTTCTTCTACGACACTTTTATATTGATTTAAATTTCTTACAATTTAAGATAAAGTAAATGCTCGTACTGGTCTTGGACATTCTTATTGTTTTGATTTTTAAACACGAATATTTGAACTTTCAAAATGGAATATACACATATACAGGGTGTCTCAGATTATTCTCAAACTTCGCGAGAGCGTATATCAGATTGAAGTAAACACAAAAGTCCCATACCGTTTTGCGTTATTCGTAATAAATCTCGAGATATTAATTAAAGAAGATTAGTGATCACGCGCGATATAGTAGATAAGCTCTAATGATGATGTATACTGTTATATGCTTATACATTAGATTAAACAAAAACCTTGTATTTTTCAAATAACCATATAGATTTTTAATTATTCATGAGAGAAAATTGTTACATGATTGTGTGCGATAATACACAAATTTTGTTTAATTAATCTAAAAATCTATGTGGTCATTTGTAAACTGGTAGAATGGTAAATATTTTGTTAACTTTGACCCAATTATAGACAGCGCTGTGACAGCTCATCTGTCGCGCGTAATCATTCACTAATCTTCTTTATAATTAATATCTCGAAATTTATTATGAACATCGCAAAATAATATGAGACTTTTATGTTCATCTCAATCTGTTCTATGCTCTTGCGAAGTTTGAGAATGGTGATCTGGAACACTCTGCATATTTAATATATGTATATATATTTTTTATGTATTAAGAGAGTTTAAATATTCGTGTTTAGAGATAGAAACAATAAGAATGTCCGTTATTATTGACACTTTTTACTTTATTGCGCATTGTGCCACAAAGAGGGCCGTCTTCCGTAAATAAATAAAGTAAATAAATGTAACTCGTACGTTTCTATTGCATTTGCGCAATATTTTCGTGCCAAGAAGAAATAGACTCTTTGTGCCGACCGACGTAATTCCGTCGCGTGATACAGACGTGGATTTGTGGCTGTCGCGCGTTACTTCCGGGCCTAATCGAGTGCATTGCGTCGTTATGCGTCAGGTATATCGTGCTGATAAGCGTTATCTCGAAGATACCCGCACTTTGCGTCGAGCACTTCGTAATAGGCCGCGTATCGCGAGAGTGGAACTTATCTCGCCGCGGGGTTTCCGCGGTTTCTCGCCCGGCGACCAACTCTGCCCTCCGCTCTCGGGCTTTTCGTTTCCGGCTCGCGCGAACTTACGACGCGACATGCGTTCCTAATTAGCCGTAAACTCCGGCGAACATTGGAGACGACTCGGCTTAGCGTTGCGGTGTGTAAATTTTTGTGAATTTCCGCCGTTGTGGTCATGAATCGCTAATAACGAGGAACAGAGGGAAAGGAGAGGGAAGAGAGAGAAAGAGAGGGAGGGACGCATTTCGTACGGCGTTCCGTAAGATTTAACGGAAACGAGCGCGTTCGAGGGATTAAACTGTTGCTCGACGATTGGGTCGCGAAATTGAGTTTGAGATAGGGAGAGCGGCGTAGTCCAGATCGAGTCGGCCAACCGAATTGAATCGCTGCAACGCAGTCCACGATGGTTGTTGGGTTTCCCGAGGGCCCCGCGTTTACGATTGAATCGGTAAATCGCGATCGAACGACGATCAAACGTCGCCTTCGGCGAGGAGTTTCGCTCGCGGGGCTCCCGCGGCCGCCCTAGTCTGTCCGTTACTACTTCCCGTTACTATTAGGCACTCGAGAGGCCGCTGGGCTGCGGTCGCCGACCGAGGAATATCGGGTCTACGTTCGTTTCCGACTTACGAGTGGCGTCGAGGAACGGTGTTCGCGATCTCTTCGGGGCGATCCCTCAATGTCGCGACTTTTTTTTAGCGCTATTATGGCCAATAGTTACTTTAATTGCACGTTTGGGAAACCTGTTTGTACATAGCGTGTCCTTTGATACCCGCGCTGGCGGAAGATGGCGTTTAGTTTACTTTCCATCTAATACGATTTGTGAGCATTTGTCTTTGCTAGAAATACTCTCGAAGAGCCTTTGGTAGTCGAACTTGTATAGCCTCCGTCCGGCAA